ATTAATTAATAGTAATAGACTGGATTTAGTATACTATTTATAAAATATTAATTTTATATAATTATTATAATTTAGTTTTTTATTACTTTTAATATAATTTTATATAATTTTTAAAATTCTTAATTACAAGAATATATTATTATATAAATAATATAATTAGTAGATCAGGAATATTTATAGTTTATATATATTATTTAATCTTATAATATCTTTTCTGACTGTGAATAACAGATGTTATTAATATATAAAATATTAAATAAAAAATTATTTATTCTATTAATAAAATTTAATAAGTATTATTAAACAGTATATAATTTTATAATAATAAAATGTAATTACCCGGTTTAAATAAGATTTATTAATTTAGAATAAAATTTATCTGAGAATAATAGTAAATAATCTTTCTATAATATATAAATAACTAATTATTATTATATATAACTGTTATTAAACTATACAGTAATAGTAAATAAGAATAAGTAATTACAGGTAATAATAGTGAATGATAGTAATATATTATTATTAAATATTATTGAATATACTACTACCCTCACTACGCGGCCCTTCGGGCCCCTATGTAGTAATAGATTTGTTCTATGTGTAGGTAGTATATTCTGGTGGCTACAGTGATATATACTGCTAATGTAGACTAAGCTTCGGAGGTGATCCGAGCGGGAGATTCTGCGGAGGACAAATGTATTGCCTGAAGGATTGGCCGGCATCATCTCTATGGGCATACTGCACCACTTGTGGTCCATAGGAAGTTGCTGCATGCCTCAAGAATAGTAACTGGCAGGTAGGGAGATTATTGACTTTTGAGATTAATGTGAAAAGGATAAAGGAAGTAGCAGCACGTGGCATGACGTTGGCTGAGAATCACATGTCTGAGTCAGCAGGAAGTTGATGATGTTGGTGGTGGCAGACATGATCAGAGCTGTCGATCTAGGTCATTATTTTATAGTTAGTTCTTTTTTCAGACTGAACAAGTCTACTTGGATCGTATGAAGAATATCATCATGGTGATAGTCCGTAGGATAGTCAATATGGGTAGACAAAGAAAGGTGTCGGTCACATAACCGGGATAATAGTTTCGGAGTAACTTGGCAACCGGGTGCAAGTTGAGGAAAGTTGAGTGGAAGAAGACACCAATTTTGTAGAATGAATAACCATGGGAGATATTCCTTGCTTCAATTATTCGTAGTTAGTGTGTATACTAATCATGCTGTAGAATGATTATCGTGGAAGGGAACATCGGCATGTGAAGGCAGCATCATCTGCCACCCCCCGATCGGTTTAGCGCCAAACGATCAAACCTCCGAGCTTCACCTGCAAAAGATGCCGAGGTTCCCTGGTCCAGCTTGCCGAGCATTGCGACCGTCCTCTTCCCCCGGATTCTTCATCTCTTTCCCTCCCCCAGACCAAGTCCCCTTAAGCTTCTCCTCTCTCTCCAACTAACTTTCATATAATACCCCGTTTCATCTCCTCATTTCACATTTCTGTCTTCTCCCTCTAATCTCCCCATCTCCCCACCTCCCCTCCTCTCCTCCTCCTCACATTGATTATTCAACATGTCTGAGCTGCGCTTCGACAACCAGACCGTGGTTGTCACCGGTGCTGGTGGTGGCCTGGGTAAGGCATATGCCCTCTTCTTTGCTTCAAGAGGTGCAAACGTCGTTGTCAACGATCTGGGTGGCTCTCATTCTGGTGAGGGCAAGTCGGCCAAGGTAGGTTGTGTCTATGCTTACACAGACTCTTTCCCAACGCCCTTTTGTCGAATCCCGCTGACCCCGGGTGTCTCTTCTAGGCTGCCGATGTGGTTGTCGATGAAATCAGAGCTGCTGGCGGCAAGGCAGTAGCAAACTACGACAGTGTCGAGAACGGCGAAGCCATCATTGAAACCGCCATCAAGAACTTTGGCCGCATCGATGTCCTTCTCAACAACGCCGGTATCCTCCGGGATATCAGTTTCAAGAACATGAAAGATCAGGACTGGGACCTTATCTACAGAGTGCACACATATGGCGCATACAAGGTAGGCAGGATGCGTTCGCCTCTGCCTTCAAGTGGTTGCTGACGCGGGGCTTTGTCTACAGTGCGCAAGAGCCGCATGGCCTCACTTCCGGAAACAAAAGTATGGCCGCATCATCAACACTGCTTCTTCGGCTGGTCTGTTTGGTAGCTTCGGCCAGGCAAACTACTCCGGTAAGCTTGGGTATGTTCGGAGGTTAGAAGCTGTTTAACTGACTATATAAGCTGCCAAACTCGGACAGGTCGGCTTCACCGAGACGCTGGCGAAGGAAGGTGCCAAGTACAACATCATTGCGAACGTCATCGCGCCAATTGGTACGTTGATCCGGCTTCTCTGGGAATGCAGTGGCTAATTTAAAACAGCTGCTAGCCGTATGACGGCCACCGTCATGCCCCCCGAGGTCCTGGAGAACCTCAAGCCCGACTGGGTTGTGCCGTTGGTGGCTGCTTTGGTCCACTCATCCAACACTACTGAGACTGGTGGAATCTACGAAGTCGGTGGTGGACACGTCGCCAAGCTGCGCTGGGAGCGTGCTAAGGGTGCTCTTCTGAAGACCGATGCTTCTTTGACGCCCGGTGCTATTGCTCGGAAGTGGAACGATGTCAACGACTTCTCCAAGCCGGACTACCCCACCGGACCTGCTGACTTCATGGGTCTCTTGGAGGATGGCTTGAAGTTGCCCAGCGCCCAAGCGGGTGAGGAGCCCAACTTCAAGGGCAAGGTTGCTCTGGTCACTGGTGGTGGCAACGGGTATGTAATACCGCAGATAAATGATAGCTATCTATCGGTTCTAACGTGCTCATAGTCTTGGCCGTGCCTACTGTCTGCTCTTTGCCAAATATGGCGCTGCCGTCGTTGTGAACGATCTCGTCGACCCCGAGCCCGTTGTCCAGGAGATCAAGAAGATGGGCGGCCAGGCTGTTGGAAACAAGGCATCTTGCGAGGATGGCGAGAATGTCGTCAAGACCGCCATCGATACCTTTGGTCGTATTGATATCCTGATCAACAACGCTGGTATCCTGCGTGACAAGGCTTTCACCAACATGAACGACGACCTGTGGAACCCTGTCCTCAATGTCCACCTGCGCGGCACCTACAAGGTGACCAAGGCTGCCTGGCCCTACATGCTCAAGCAGAAGTATGGTCGCATTGTCAACACGGCCAGCACCAGCGGTATCTACGGAAACTTTGGACAGGCCAACTATGCCGCCGCGGTATGTTACCGCCAATGCTGATTTTCTTAACGCCTTTCACTAATTGTCTTTAGAAACTCGGAATCCTTGGTTTCTCCCGCACTCTTGCTCTTGAGGGTGCTAAATACAACATCAAGGTCAACACCATTGCCCCCAATGCTGGTACCAACATGACCCGTACCATCATGCCCGAGGAGATGGTTCAGGCGTTCAAGCCTGACTACGTTGCTCCCCTGGTGGCTCTTCTGTGCTCGGACATTGTGCCTGAGCCCAGCACCAAGGGTCTGTACGAGTGTGGCAGCGGCTGGTTCGGCCGCACTCGCTGGCAGCGTACCGGCGGTCACGGATTCCCCGTCGACGTTAAGCTTACTCCTGAGGAAGTGCTCAAGCACTGGCAGAAGATCACCAACTTCGACGATGGCCGTGCGGACCACCCCGAGGATGGCCAGGCCGGTTCGGAGAAGATCATGGCCAACATGAGCAACCGCAGCGGCGGCGACTCGGAGGGTGGCAACAACATCCTCCAGGCCATCGAGAAGGCCAAGCAGGCCACCACTGACGGAACCTCCTTCGACTACGAGGACCGGGATGTCATCCTCTACAACCTCAGTGTCGGCGCTAAGCGCACCGATCTTCCCCTGGTGTACGAGAACAACGAGCACTTCCAGGCTCTGCCCACATACGGTGTGATCCCTTGGTTCAACACCGCCAACCCCTGGAACATGGATGATATTGTCGCCAACTTCTCCCCCATGATGTTGCTGCATGGCGAGCAGTACATGGAGGTCCGCAAGTTCCCCATTCCCACCGCCGCCAAGACCTTGACCTACCCCAAGCTCATCGATGTCGTGGACAAGGGCAACGCCGCCCTCGTCGTCTCCGGTTACACCACCAAGGACGCGAAGACCGGCGAGGATCTCTTCTACAACGAGTCGACCGTCTTCATCCGTGGCAGTGGCGGCTTCGGCGGATCGCCCAAGCCCACTGCCCCCCGCCCCAAGGCCGCCGTGGCGTCCTACAAGGCTCCTCAGCGCAAGCCCGATGCGGTTGTCGAGGAGAAGACCTCGGAAGACCAGGCCGCTCTCTACCGCCTCAACGGTGACCGCAACCCTCTGCACATTGACCCCGAGTTCAGCAAGGTCGGTGGCTTCAAGACCCCTATCCTGCACGGTCTCTGCTCGCTCGGTGTCTCTGGCAAGCATGTCTTCAGCACATACGGTGCCTTCAAGAACCTTAAGGTCCGCTTCTCTGGTGTGGTGCTGCCCGGTCAGACCCTCCGCACGGAGATGTGGAAGGAGGGCAATGTGGTCATCTTCCAGACAACGGTGGTAGACACCGGCAAGCCTGCCATTACGGGGGCTGGAGCCGAGCTGTTGGAGGGTGCCAAGGCCAAGTTGTAAAACAGGGGAGTGGTGTGATTTACCAGACTGTATGTACATAATGTCATGAATTCATTTTCTGTTTGAAATTAGTTATACATTGAGTGGCCCGTATGGTACATGTACACACCGTAGTAGATGTCAAGAACAGGCGATCTACATGCATCCTCACCTACGTCAATTGTAAGCATCGTCCTATTCAAGTCCTTGAGATGTCTTTCCACATCTTCTATAGCCCCCAAAACTCTAAATAAGCCTCAGGCAGCATCGGAATAAAGGTATCATAATCCAGTTAATAGCTTGTTGGTGATAGACATAGATAAGTAGTCTGTCTGTCTGTTTATTGCTATTAACTCAGCTAGATTTACTAATGTATATGCATCAAGTGAAACAAAATACTCAAGGTCCCAAAGCGGCTACATACCACCACCATGAATCCTCAGTATTTTCAAATCCATCCAGAACCATGGGAAGATAGACAGATGCCCATTCCTCACCACTCCAAGCTGACATCTGCGCTTTGCGCACTTCCCAGTATGCAGGCAGCCAGCCGGATTGCTCCCAGTCGATGATTGCCTTTACCCGGTATGGAGGGGAAGACGTAACGAGGATGTTACTGCGATGGAGATCGCCATGGGTGAATTTGATGGCACAGTTGTCCGGAAGACCATAGCGATATGGTTCTATAGGCACAGAGTATGGATCTGACATTCGTCGCCGGGGAAGAAATGTGAACCAGTCGTGGAATTGGCGGACGGTGGGGAATGGACCTGCTTCATGCAGGTGATTGATGCTGAAGGTTCTATCGTAGATGGGTTTTTGCGCGATGTTGCCTATGATGAGAATGGTCAATATCCCACAGGATAGATCGAATCAATGTCTGTACCGACGAATGTATCCTCCGGGTCCTGTTCGAGCTGACGAAGGCGATCGCAGATTATTCTCAGCTCATGACAGATGCTTGTTTTATCTTCCTCTTCCATGACATCCCATGCTTGCTCCAAAGTCTTTCCCTTTACATACTCCATGTAGATGTATATCACCTCCCCTTCAGTGCGCCATCCATATACCTCGGGGACGGGGACATGGTCCTTGAGATATTGATGGATAGCACATAGACAGTAAGCTTCGGGAGAGACATTCCCCACTTAACAAGCATGTTCATTTCTTCAGATAGGACGGGCGGTGGTCTAGTATGAAATGAGTCGGTGGAATAGTCTTTCCGTCGATCTGGATGTATTCCAGCGAGATGCTGGGTTTTGGCTTGTGCTTGCACTTCTTCCGGGGTAGGTAATTGTTCCCATTCTGTGAAGAAAGATGATTCTTTAACATCGTAGTTGGGAAGGTCGGGAATCATGGATGGTGTGAGTCGCACGCTCTTGTTCTTAGATGTCATTATGTATGATGGGGTGATTGGGGTGGTTGGAAGCTGTTGTGGTGGGTTGTATTACTTTGATTCCATAGAGTACGGGAGGATAGGCTGGATCAGGCACCAGTAGGTGCTTATGCCAGGCATCCATTTAGAGGAACGATAAACTTGGATAAAAGAAATGTGTGTTTATTTCGAATGATAAGGGTAATTTCATTCCCTTTCGAACATGAGTATTCCAGGAATATGTCATCCCAATAGTACACGCCAAGTATGTATCGTGTAAGAGTCCCCTAGTCAAGCCTGTGAATATTCTTGGGCCAACAATTATCTTACCAGTCAAAATCAGCCTCAAGCTGTCAGATCAGGAGCGGATAATTAGGATGCAGCATAGCCTCATCGTTATGCTATCAATACATCCTTGTACATAATTAGTTGAAGTATATTCGGAGAAAGTGTTGGGTGGAGCATTGAACCAGTCCCGTGATTGGATCATTTGGAGTAAAGTCACGGAAGTCAACTCCTCCCGATTGATTCATTCCATCATTCCGCTTCCCATCATCTTCCCATCTTCCCATCTTCCCATCCAACTGATCACCCCATCATCTTTCCCTTCCCCCACGCCCCCATCCCACGCCGTCTTCTACCATCTCGCTGGCTTCCCGACACTAAGCTGGAATTAAGTTCGCCCGCCAGATACCCTTCCTTCTGGCCAGACGCCTTCCCGTCTACCCTCCGACGATCATGTAGCAAGCTCGGTCTTGCGCCCCTCCGTCAGTGCAACGATGGTGCTCTCCCTATCTGTCCCTAGCTTTTCTAGATCCACCACCTCCTCCGCGCTTCGTGCCAGCGACAGCAGGAACTCTACAACCATCAGCGAGGCTCTCCGCAATAATCCTTTCGGCATCACCTCCCGATCTCGCTCCCTCGCCGCCTCGAATATTCCCTCCGAGGAACAGAAACGAGAACAAGAGGAGCTAAACCAGGCTCTGCAGACCCTAGCTCGAATCTTTCCCGATATTCGTATCGAAGTCTTCCGAGAGCTCCTGGTCCGGTTCGATGGGCAGAGCCGTCTCCATGTCTGCGTCGAGCAGTTGCTACGTCACAAAGAGGAGTGGGTAGCCGGGCGATGGAACGTGCCAGCTGGGACTGGGGGAACGGAAGAAGATGGCAAAGATGATCTACAACAACAACATACCGGACATGAGCATGCAGTTCCGCCTGATGAGCTATTCCGGACAAACGAATATAAAGCTGCCGTGAAGGCGGCTCTCACGAAGGAGTTTAATGGTCTGAGCAAGAGTACGGTGGAGGCAGTACTGGCTGAAGTGAACTTCTCTTATCTGCGAGCCCGTCCGACTCTGCAAGATCTTTCCCGGAGGACCTGGCGTGCGACCTTCAACAGCATTCTCCCTTCGTTCAAGCGCGGTAAAGATAAGAACGAGCATCCACTCATCGTGTGGCAGCGTCAGCCGGATGGTGACATGATCCCGCGGCTGAAGAAGACGGAGTGCCCGGAGCTGGACCGGGAGCTGTATCGGGCCTTGCTGGCACCCCTACTTCGAACCAGGCGGGAGGAGAGACTTGATAGAGACCAGAAGTTGGCGGAGGAGCTGAACGATACAGAAGCCAAGGAGGCTGATGCTGTTTATGAGTGCGAGTGCTGTTTGGACGACGTGACTTTTGAGCAAATCTCAACATGCTCGGACAATACGCACATTATTTGCTATGGCTGCATCCGGCGAACCATCCATGAGGCTCTGTTCGGTCAAGGCTGGGGTAAATCGGTTGATGTGGAAAAGTCAACGTTGAAATGTTTGGCGCCGTTCGATCACGACAGTTGCCCCGGGACCTTGGACCCAGCGATCGTCAAGCAGGCTATCCTGCTTGACAAGGCCGGACCTGAGACCTACACGAAATTCGAGACGCGCCTTTCCTCCGAGGTTCTGCTCAAGTCCCAGCTGAAGCTCATTCGGTGTCCGTTTTGCTCGTACGCCGAAGTTGATCCGGTTTACCACCCGTCTGCTCAAGGCCTTGTTTGGCGCTTTCGTCGCGACGGGTTCCTCTCTACGCTTCTGATCACCATCTTCTTACTCGACTTGATACCCTTACTTATCATTCCTCTAGCGATTCTTTATTTTGTCAACTCTTCTGCTGTGTTCATCATCTTCCAAAACGCTCTCCTCAACCTCTGCCTCAAAACCCGACCCAAGAAATTCACCTGCGCGCACCCCGCATGCGGACGCGTCAGCTGCATCACCTGCCAGAAACCATGGCGTGACCCTCACGTGTGCCATGAACCGCTTCTCCTCGACCTCCGGGCCACCGTCGAGGCCGCTCGCACTGCAGCTGTCAAGCGCACCTGTCCGCGCTGCGGCCTCTCATTCGTCAAATCCTCCGGCTGCAACAAACTGACCTGCGTCTGCGGCTATTCCATGTGCTACCTCTGCCGCAAGGCTCTTGGTTCTCCGATCAAGTCTGCAAACCGACTAGGACGACTTCGACCACGCCGTCGTGCCAACCTCGTTGAGAATGTCGATCCGGCGGTCGGACCGGACGCCATCAACGACGAACAAGAAGCCGGCAACGACGACGAATTCGAAGAAATGGAAGGCTACAAGCACTTCTGCGAGCACTTCCGCATTGATCCCGGCTCGCGCTGTACGGAATGCAACAAATGCGAGCTCTACCAAGACGAAGATGAAGAAGCCGTGGCGCGTCGTGCCGGCGAGAAAGCCGAACGCGAATGGCACGCTCGTCAAGGCACGACCGGTGTGGGCATCGGGACTCTTCGCGTGAACAATGATTTCTCAAAAGCGGAGGGTAAACGCCGCGGCAATGGAGGGTTGATCCTTCACCATCACGGCAAGGGCATGAGTTACTGGCTGGATGAGGTGTGGCGGGATGGACGATGGCGAATAGAGGGACAGACGTTGGTAGACTGGGTTGTGGAACGAGTCCTAGTGATTGATGAATTTTAGCCCCCTCTTCTTCTTTTTTTTTTCCCCCTTCTGTGTTGGGCGTCTCGGGGTGTTTCGGGCATTGTTGATTCAGCTGGTCTAAGAGAATCATACAGCAGATTGAACGATTGAACGATTGATTGATTGGTTAAATTGATGTTGCTGCAGCATAGCTAGCTAGATTGATTGGATTGGACTGGCTTGATGATGATGAACATGATCAACGACCTGCTTTCAACTTTTCCGGGTGTTACACTACTACTTCTTCTTAAATGAATGGCTTTCCAAGAATGACTTTTCACTTCACTCTAGTCTATTTGATTTGATGCTCCTCTACTAAACCCACTAGCACGAGAAATAGCCTCCCACGCACCCCCGTCACCAATTACATTTATACCCTCCATCTTAGTACCCAGCATAAGAATTCTACTAATCCCCCCCCATCTCCTCTCTGCTCACCTCTCCTCCCCTCCTCCTTCAACCTCTCATCATCCGCCCTCTCCAACCCCACCTGCGGCATCAACCCAACCGCCAAGAGAAACGCCAATGCCGCGAGCGCCGCATTCACCGTGAACACGATCCTGAAGCCGTCTTTGTACGCGGGGATAAGCAGCGCACGAACTGTCGCTGCTTCGTCTTCGGGGAGTTTCGATAGGTAATTGGATGGGCTAGCGAGGAAGGATTGTTTCTGGGATGTGGTTAGGTGCAGGGTGTTGATGGTGGTGGAGAGGAGGTTGTTTCTAACGTTTCTTTCGGTTAGTTCGATCAAATAGGAGGTAGGTAGGTGGGTTGGTGGGTAGGGGGGTATATACGTACATGATTGTGCCGGATACAGCGAGGCCGAGGGTGCCGCCTAGGTTGCGGATGAAGCTGTTTTTTTCGGGGGTGGAGGTGTTAGTGGTGGGGGATAAGAGGGGTTTAAGAGGGGGGTTTGGAAGGATGGATGTTACTTACTTTCGGAATGAGGTTACGATGGCCATGTCTCGTCTGGCGACGCCGGCTTGCACGGCGATTAGGGCACTGCAGTGGGTCAGGTTGGTATGTGGGTTGTTATAGGATGTGGAGGGGCAGTCTCACGGCTGTAATGTGTTTCCTGAACCTATACCTGTCAGTAGGCCGTAACCTATCTGCTTCCCTAGGTTGGATGTCTCGTTTAGGGTCGACATCAGGCCTAGTCCGATGGCCCAGATCATCCAGCCGATGAGGATGGATTCGCGATATCGGCCCACCCAGTGGACGACTAGGCCAGAGAGGGTGCTGCTTAGGGCTGGTGCAGTTTGGGTTTAGTGTGAGCGTGGGATAGGAAAGTAGAGGGATGGTAGATAGGGCGAGGCAACATACTTTGCAATAATGTGATGGGTAAAACCATTGCGCCAGCTTTGGTAGTGGAGTAATTGAACACAAGTTGATAGAAGGTCGGGATGTAATACAGCATGACTATGATATTCCACCCATTGATGAACATAGTCAGACAGGCTCCATTCACAATGCGCGATTTGAATATATGCATAGGTATCAGCGGATACGGATGCCCCTTCCATTCCCATAGGACAAACGCCACACAGACAGCAAACCCCACGACGAGCGTCGCTATAATGTGTGCCGATTTCCAGACATACTCGCCACCGCCCCAGGTCAATCCGAGCATAAGTACCGCTGTGCCTCCGAGTGCTAGAAACACGCCGAAAAAATCGACGGCTTTCAGCTTCGCTTTCCAGTCACCGGTGACTTTCCGCAACGGCATGAAGAACATCACCGCAAGAATTGAAATCGCCGTGAGCGGCAGCATAAGCCGGAAGATCCATCTCCACGAGTTGTGGGAGATCGGGGATAGAGCACCGCCAATCACAGGGCCGATGCCGTTGGCGATGGCTATTACGGCGCCGAGGATGCCTTGATATTTACCTCGCTCGCGGAGTGGTACCACATCACTGACTATCATCTGTGCGATGGACGTGATTCCGCCGCCCCCCATGCCGGTGAAGGCGCGGAAGATGATAAGTTGCGTGGCGGTCTGTGCTAGAGATGATGCTAGAGAACCGAAGAACATGATGGCGAGGCCTACGTATAGGACGTATTTTCGGGACCAGATGTCAGAGAGTCGCCCGTATAGAAGTTGGAAGCAGGTTGATGTTCTGCATTGGGTTAGTACTTAAGAGTCATGTCTGGTTCCTGGGCTGGACGTACAGGAAATATCCTCCTGATATCCACGAGGTTTTATTGCTGGCGTCCAATGTATTGCCGATTATGGATAAACTCCCGGCTAGAGTGGTCTGGTCCATAACCGCTACTAGGTCAACTGTCGAGCATGCTAGGAATATCTGCGGCAAGTTAGATAGATCGTTGATAGTCGCGCGTCCATGTGATGGAAGATACCGTGATGATAGTGCTCAATGGCACATAGTTCGTCTGCTCGTTAAAGAAGGGCGGTGATGCCGCTGGTCTGCTCTTGTCTCCGCTAGAGTCGGTGGCAACATCTCGAGAGACACTCGATGGATTATCATGCTTGACTTCATCCTCAATTGAAGTCGCAGGCATTTTATCTCTCGCTGAGGTCAATGTCCTGAGACGAGGGCGCGAGCCTATCCAGGAGTAACGAAAGGGTCAGTTGACAAGACTGAGCCTAGATAATTCTAAGGCGCTATAGGCTTACAAGCGAGGATTTGTAATAAAACAACTAAGACCGTGAAGTGAAATTGACTCAAGGAGGAGGGCTAACTCGGCAGCGACAATATTACGGTGCAAAGAGGTACATGCAGTGGATGGCTCCTTGCGTGTCAGGGCCACCTCCTCGCCGGTTAGGGCTAAAAGGGAAAGGATCGTCTAAATCAACGCAAATGCCCTCGTGCTTTCGTATAAGGTTGCAACTACTATGCCGTTGTGACTTGTGGATCTTTTGAGGTACCCCTCTTCCTAGACATGGTGCTATTACATATGACAACCTTGGAATGTTGGGTTCCGTCATCAGAGGATAGGCCGCGGAGCGTAAGAACCCAGTATAGCGAAGTTGAGTCCAACGACCTTGAGTCCGGAGCTGTTTTCAGAGTAACTTCGATTACTTGAACAAGAGGCATACGTAGAACGTCAATCTGAGCACATTTGCGCCAGTCTCCAACGAATAGGAGTCCAATCCAATCCACTCCCTTGACCAAGTGCCCAACGTGAGACACGGACCTTCCTGAAGCGGCCCTGAGATGTGCATCAAACCAAGCTCAGTGAGACGCTAGCGATGCGCCGAATGCGAAGATCACGCCGGAAAGAGCGCATCTCGCGCGTGGGAGGGTGGCTGCATGTTTCTGTAGCAGGGCCGTATAATTTGATGCTCCCGTCCCTGGGTGATTGTTGGCTCAATATTGCGGTCAATACTCCCGTCAACACTGATATTCTGACATAATGGCCAACATTAACGAGCACAATGTGTACTTTGGACCGGATGCGCTCAAGAAGTACTTTGATCCGGATTGCCAGCCTCCGTTACCTCTGGTGGAGCTGCCCGATCGATTGAATCCGTTCCACCAAGATGGGGTACGGATCTATGCCAAAATGATGACAATGCACCCGGCAAACAACGTGAAAGCCATACCAGGTATGTTGGCCCTCAATAGTTCCCCTGTGCCTGGCCCTGGCACTGACGGAACAAGCGATGAACCTGCTCGAAAAAACCGTGGTGCCTGGCAAGACCAAAACAATCGTGGAATTCAGCTCAGGTTCCACAGTCATCTCGATGTCTATGCTCGCTCGATTGATGCATGGTATTAGCGACACCAGGGCTTTCCTGAGTAACAAATCCACCGAGACTAAGTTACGGATGATGCAGTTCTTCGGGCTGGATGTCACCCTGTTCGGTGGCCCATCTCAACCTGACCCGTTAGATGAACGCGGAGGCATCCAGACTGCTCGGGCGATGGCCATGGGGTCTGAGGAGATTGTTAACCCCAACCAGTATGACAATGACGACAATTGGCATGCGCACATCCGCTGGACTGGCCCTCAGATATTCAAGCAATTACCAGAGATCAACGTGCTCTGTGCCGGGATGGGGACATCGGGGACGATGACGGGATTAGGGACCTACTTCAAAGAAATCAAGCCATCTGTGCTTCGGCTTGGAGTGTGCACTGCACCCGGGGACCGGGTTCCAGGACCACGGACATTTGCCCTGATGCAGGTACAGGAGTTTCCCTGGAGGGAAGCGCTGGACGTGCACGAAGAAGTCAGTTCATATGACGCGTTCTCGTTATCCTTGGACTTGTGTCGCGAAGGGGTCGTCTGTGGGCCGTCATCCGGTTTGAGTTTGAAGGGACTTTATCAGATGCTGGAGAAACACAAGAAGGCTGGCACCTTGCGACAACTAGCGGGACCAGATGGTTCGATCCACTGTGTCTTCTTATGCTTCGATCTGCCCTATCAATACGTTGGCGACTATTTCGAGAAACTAGGGCCCGAGAGGTTTCCTCCCATTCGTAATCAGGTGGGTCGGCGAGCTACGTATATTGAATTGAGGAGCTCGGGTATGCTGACTGTTGTTCTTGTAGAACCTCGTTGGCGTTGATCTCTACCGGTATGATGAGAGCTGGGAAAGAAGTCCTGTGGTTCTGTTCACCGACTATTACGAAATACCCCAATGCTTTTCAACCCATCCCTTGAGCGCCATGGTGCTCCGGCCTCTGCACTGTGTGTTGGATTTGAGGACCGCGGGAGACTTTGGCACTTGGCATCTCCCGGGATCGGTAAACATTCCCCTGCACAGTCTCGACTCTCATACAGCCAAGCCATTCAGCGACGCAGACGTACTGGAGGCACAGTGGCTGGAGTTGGAAGCGTTATTCAGCAATGCAGATGTGCTTGGCAAGTTGAGTGGCCAACAGGTGCTAATGCTCTGCTACCATGGGGATACCGCGCGGGTAGCCAGTAGTGTATTGCGGGCCAAGGGGATAGCAGCGGTCAGTCTCCGCGGAGGATATCAAGCGCTGAAAGATCATTTGCTGTGGGGAAGCAGCAATGGGGTGGAGTCGAACAAGATGGGCAAAGCAGCCACCGCAACAGTAGAGGCCGTGGATGCAGCAGCAGAAGACGCAGTTGTTGCTGCAGCAGTAGAAGCCGCAGTGGTGGTCACGGACCCACGCTAGACCGAATGAGGGATGCAAACGATAAGGTTGCATCTCATCGTTTCAATCGATTTACTCTCTTCTTCTTCATGTACCTACTCGATGATGATATCTCAGCTCCTCATTCTATGGTTATTCCAAAGTTAGTTTATTATTACTAATTCTGCTTCTCCACCGTTATGCCCTCTCCCTTCCGCATAGGGTTAGAAACTATCTAGATGCGTCAAGTATCCATTTATTTGCAGACTGCTCCATATCCTGCGCAAACTTGCTCACCAGCCAGCCTATACATAGATGAGCTATGAGATGATGGAGTCAGCAAGAAAGTACATCGTAATTTCCCATTCATTCCGTTAGTCAGATTGAAAGGTCATGCATGCTAAGCACACCGAGCAGATTGACCCCAAACACGGCCCGCATGCGTATGCATTCCACGCTAACCGGAGAAATGTGCTCAATTGTGAGCAATCCTCAGCCAATGAGCAACCCGCTGTTACAGGGCAGCATCATGTTGCCAGGTGAAGCTGCTGCTACGACACTGGGGAAAGGGTCTGGTGTTCCGTACCGTGGATGATGGTTGTCAAGGCACGCGAAGCAGCTGAATCATGCTGTTGCATCGCCCTGTATCTAGGCTCCCCTGCTCGATCCTACAAAACTCAACACTTGAGACACATGGCCCTTACATGGATCATTCTCTTGACCTTACTCCTGGACCACGTTGTGGATGTAAGAAGTGCATACAGAAAGCGTCATCATATCCAGTTCTGCAGACTGGTGTCTCTGCTCACTAACCTTTCCTCAACATGGGGCCGCCATGGCTGGACCAGCCGGTTATGCTACATTCTTCCCGGGCTGATCACTGCACCTTGACCCCAGAGCAGTGTGCCTATCGTGACGCACATTGGAGATACTGGTACGCCTCAATGCTCCCATATAATTGACTCCATGTTCATCGTGTCTTCATTTACAGGTATCAATCCGACCACGTCTATGCTTTGAATACTATATACTTTCTATGTGCTACTGTTGGTGTTTTCTCCATTCTGCATCTTATTTCCAAGTATGGTCCGCAGTCCTTCAAGAGGACTACAATATGGCGACGATCAACGACAGTGGGAAGATATCTTGCCTACCGATGCTTCCAAATACCCGTGCTGCACTCTAGCACCTCGTCGCTGGGGGTTATTCTCCTGGTGTCGACTGGAGTAGTATTCTTCTTGGGTTGGTTTCTCGACTCTCAAACACTATAGCCCTTGACTGACTATATCAAGCCATGACACTGGGACCGCAGCCTTACTACTGGCCCAATACAGAAACGGTCTCCTATGGAGGTAGCCCGCCAATTGCGACGAGAAGTGGATGGATGGCCCTGGCTCTGCTACCATTTGTCTTGTAGGCCACTCCAATCGACAACAATATGACTGATGACTGACCCAAGCAGAGCATTGAGCGCAAAAGCTAACTTTATCTCAACCTTGACCGGCGTGCCCCACGAAAAGCTTCAAGTATGTGTATCATTAATGTGGCAAGATAAACGCTAACCATGCCCAGGTGTTTCATCACTGGACGAGTTATGCTATGTTTGTCCTGGCGCTCGTCCACACCTTTCCTTTCATTATCTACCATATTGATCAAGGCGATATGGTCGACCAGTGGAAGACGGAGGTTACATACTGGACTGGGGTTGCCGCTCTAATTCCGCAGGCATATCTGACATTCATGTCGTTGCCAGCCATCAGGTCAGCCCATTTCAAACTAAATAATCAACTCAAACTGACCCTTACAGGAACCGATTCTACGAGTTCTTCAAAGCCACTCATTTTCTTGCCGCTCTGGTATTCATCGTATTTTTCTTCTTGCACTGTGACTTCCGCTTGTCTTCATGGTAGGCTCCCCTAGACTACCACACCATGGATCCCGCTCACCATATCAGGGACTACTTCATCTCCGCAGGAGCAATCTACATCCTCAGCTTATGGATATCCAACATTCGCACCTACTTCATGCATGGCCGCCACACAGCTACAATCGAACACCTCCCCTGCGGCCTCGTCCGGATCCGCATTCCAACAATCATGGCCTGGCGCCCAGGCCAACACGTTTTCGTCCGATTCCTCAGCCTCCAGCAAGGCATCCACTGTCTCAGCGCTCACCCCTTCACCATCTGCTCCCTCTACCAGGACTTCGAGACAACCGGCAAAGCCCCTGAAATCATCTTCTACGTCAAGCCGCGCCGCGGACTAACAGCCAGTCTGGGAAACACGGCTCTCGAAAAGCCGAACTCATCTGAGACAGTGCTCCTCGAAGGCCCATATGGCGGGATTTCCGAATCCGTCAATTTCGCCCGATTTGACACTTATGTCTTAATTACTGGAGGAACTGGCGGTGGCTTCTCCCTGGCCATCCTCGAGGAAGCCCTGCGGACTCATC